GTCTCATTGTCATTGAGCAGGGCCGGTCTTTCACCACCAAGCGGCCGCCCTGGGCAAACTCAAACAGTGGCGTCCCCCCCCCTTTCCCTTTTTATGCACCCATATCTGCTATATTCGTTTTCACGTAAAAAAAATGTTTTTTTTTTTTTTTTTTTTTTTTTGTGGGTTAAGTATAGTTTGGGAAGATGCATCAGGTGTAGTCATGATACTAATCCTTTCATTCGTTTCAAGCAAACTCTCGGTGTATTTTCGAACGATAAAAAAGATGCGTTGCCCCGACATAGTTGACATTTAGACAGTAAAATACTAGCTAAAATTTCGTTTAAAGGGGTAAAAAAAAAAAAAAGGAAAGAAAAGGAGTGCGTGTTTTTCCCCCCCTGCAGTTCTACGTAATATCTGATTTACAGACGCGACTTTCTATACGCACAATAATTGTTTCGGCGTCGAGTTGACATTACGTCAGGAGGTTCGTCACGTCATCTGGGTAGATGTTGCGATTATTAAAGAACATACAATGCCAGTTTCTATTGGGCAGCTTATGTTCCTCGTCCTGTTGTCTCATTGTCATTGAGCAGGGCCGGTCTTTCACCACCAAGCGGCCGCCCTGGGCAAACTCAAACAGTGGCGTCCCCCCCCCTTTCTCTTTTTATGCACCCATACCTGCTATATTCTTTTCCACGTAAAAAAATGTTTTTTTTTTTTTTTTGTGGGTTAAGTATAGTTTGGGAAGATGCATCAGGTGTAGTCATGATACAAATCCTTTCATTCGTTTCAAGCAAACTCTCGGTGTATTTTCGAACAATAAAAAAGATGCGTTGCCCCGACATAGTTGACATTTAGACAGTAAAATACTAGCTAAAATTTCGTTTAAAGGGGTAAAAAAAAAAATAAAAAGGAAAGAAAAGGAGTGCGTGTTTTTTCCCCCTGCAGTTCTACGTAATATCTGATTTACAGACGCGACTTTCTATACGCACAATAATTGTTTCGGCGTCGAGTTGACATTACGTCAGGAGGTTCGTCACGTCATCTGGGTAGATGTTGCGATTATTAACCGAACATACAATGCCAGTTTCTATTGGGCAGCTTATGTTCCTCGTCCTGTTGTCTCATTGTCATTGAGCAGGGCCGGTCTTTCACCACCAAGCGGCCGCCCTGGGCAAACTCAAACAGTGGCGTCCCCCCCCCTTTCCCTTTTTATGCACCCATATCTGCTATATTCGTTTTCACGTAAAAAAAATGTTTTTTTTTTTTTTTTTTTTTTTTTGTGGGTTAAGTATAGTTTGGGAAGATGCATCAGGTGTAGTCATGATACTAATCCTTTCATTCGTTTCAAGCAAACTCTCGGTGTATTTTCGAACGATAAAAAAGATGCGTTGCCCCGACATAGTTGACATTTAGACAGTAAAATACTAGCTAAAATTTCGTTTAAAGGGGTAAAAAAAAAAAAAAGGAAAGAAAAGGAGTGCGTGTTTTTCCCCCCCTGCAGTTCTACGTAATATCTGATTTACAGACGCGACTTTCTATACGCACAATAATTGTTTCGGCGTCGAGTTGACATTACGTCAGGAGGTTCGTCACGTCATCTGGGTAGATGTTGCGATTATTAAAGAACATACAATGCCAGTTTCTATTGGGCAGCTTATGTTCCTCGTCCTGTTGTCTCATTGTCATTGAGCAGGGCCGGTCTTTCACCACCAAGCGGCCGCCCTGGGCAAACTCAAACAGTGGCGTCCCCCCCCCTTTCCCTTTTTATGCACCCATATCTGCTATATTCGTTTTCACGTAAAAAAAATGTTTTTTTTTTTTTTTTTTTTTTTTGTGGGTTAAGTATAGTTTGGGAAGATGCATCAGGTGTAGTCATGATACTAATCCTTTCATTCGTTTCAAGCAAACTCTCGGTGTATTTTCGAACGATAAAAAAGATGCGTTGCCCCGACATAGTTGACATTTAGACAGTAAAATACTAGCTAAAATTTCGTTTAAAGGGGTAAAAAAAAAAAAAAAGGAAAGAAAAGGAGTGCGTGTTTTTCCCCCCCTGCAGTTCTACGTAATATCTGATTTACAGACGCGACTTTCTATACGCACAATAATTGTTTCGGCGTCGAGTTGACATTACGTCAGGAGGTTCGTCACGTCATCTGGGTAGATGTTGCGATTATTAAAGAACATACAATGCCAGTTTCTATTGGGCAGCTTATGTTCCTCGTCCTGTTGTCTCATTGTCATTGAGCAGGGCCGGTCTTTCACCACCAAGCGGCCGCCCTGGGCAAACTCAAACAGTGGCGTCCCCCCCCCTTTCCCTTTTTATGCACCCATATCTGCTATATTCGTTTTCACGTAAAAAAAATGTTTTTTTTTTTTTTTTTTTTTTTTTGTGGGTTAAGTATAGTTTGGGAAGATGCATCAGGTGTAGTCATGATACTAATCCTTTCATTCGTTTCAAGCAAACTCTCGGTGTATTTTCGAACGATAAAAAAGATGCGTTGCCCCGACATAGTTGACATTTAGACAGTAAAATACTAGCTAAAATTTCGTTTAAAGGGGTAAAAAAAAAAAAAAGGAAAGAAAAGGAGTGCGTGTTTTTCCCCCCCTGCAGTTCTACGTAATATCTGATTTACAGACGCGACTTTCTATACGCACAATAATTGTTTCGGCGTCGAGTTGACATTACGTCAGGAGGTTCGTCACGTCATCTGGGTAGATGTTGCGATTATTAAAGAACATACAATGCCAGTTTCTATTGGGCAGCTTATGTTCCTCGTCCTGTTGTCTCATTGTCATTGAGCAGGGCCGGTCTTTCACCACCAAGCGGCCGCCCTGGGCAAACTCAAACAGTGGCGTCCCCCCCCCTTTCTCTTTTTATGCACCCATACCTGCTATATTCTTTTCCACGTAAAAAAATGTTTTTTTTTTTTTTTTGTGGGTTAAGTATAGTTTGGGAAGATGCATCAGGTGTAGTCATGATACAAATCCTTTCATTCGTTTCAAGCAAACTCTCGGTGTATTTTCGAACAATAAAAAAGATGCGTTGCCCCGACATAGTTGACATTTAGACAGTAAAATACTAGCTAAAATTTCGTTTAAAGGGGTAAAAAAAAAAATAAAAAGGAAAGAAAAGGAGTGCGTGTTTTTTCCCCCTGCAGTTCTACGTAATATCTGATTTACAGACGCGACTTTCTATACGCACAATAATTGTTTCGGCGTCGAGTTGACATTACGTCAGGAGGTTCGTCACGTCATCTGGGTAGATGTTGCGATTATTAAAGAACATACAATGCCAGTTTCTATTGGGCAGCTTATGTTCCTCGTCCTGTTGTCTCATTGTCATTGAGCAGGGCCGGTCTTTCACCACCAAGCGGCCGCCCTGGGCAAACTCAAACAGTGGCGTCCCCCCCCCTTTCTCTTTTTATGCACCCATATCTGCTATATTCTTTTTCACGTAAAAAAATGTTTTTTTTTTTTTTTTTTGTGGGTTAAGTATAGTTTGGGAAGATGCATCAGGTGTAGTCATGATACAAATCCTTTCATTCGTTTCAAGCAAACTCTCGGTGTATTTTCGAACAATAAAAAAGATGCGTTGCCCCGACATAGTTGACATTTAGACAGTAAAATACTAGCTAAAATTTCGTTTAAAGGTGTAAAAAAAAAAAAAAGAAAGAAAAGGAGTGCGTGTTTTTTTCCCCCTGCAGTTCTACGTAATATCTGATTTACAGACGCGACTTTCTATACGCACAATAATTGTTTCGGCGTCGAGTTGACATTACGTCAGGAGGTTCGTCACGTCATCTGGGTAGATGTTGCGATTATTAACCGAACATACAATGCCAGTTTCTATTGGGCAGCTTATGTTCCTCGTCCTGTTGTCTCAATGTCATTGAGCAGGGCCGGTCTTTCACCACCAAGCGGCCGCCCTGGGCAAACTCAAACAGTGGCGTCCCCCCCCCTTTCCCTTTTTATGCACCCATATCTGCTATATTCTTTTTCACGTAAAAAAATGTTTTTTTTTTGTTTTTTTTGTGGGTTAAGTATAGTTTGGGAAGATGCATCAGGTGTAGTCATGATACTAATCCTTTCATTCGTTTCAAACAAACTCTCGGTGTATTTTCGAACAATAAAAAAGATGCGTTGCCCCGACATAGTTGACATTTAGACAGTAAAATACTAGCTAAAATTTTGTTTAAAGGTGTAAAAAAAAAATAAAAAGGAAAGAAAAGGAGTGCGTGTTTTTTTCCCCCTGCAGTTCTACGTAATATCTTATTTACAGACGCGACTTTCTATACGCACAATAATTGTTTCGGCGTCGAGTTGACATTACGTCAGGAGGTTCGTCACCCCATCTGGGTAGATGTTGCGATTATTAACCGAACATACAATGCCAGTTTCTATTGGGCAGCTTATGTTCCTCGTCGTGTTGTCTCAATGTCATTGAGCAGGGCCGGTCTTTCACCACCAAGCGGCCGCCCTGGGCAAACTCAAACAGTGGCGTCCCCCTCCCCCCCTTTCCCTTTTTATGCACCCATATCTGCTATATTCGTTTTCACGTAAAAAAAATGTTTTGCGCATTGATTTTTTTACGCTGCGCAAAGTACATCTTACAGTATTTGGTAGTCAGGGGAAGAAGCGAGGCTTTTAGCGTTCGAAACGTATATGTCTTGATAAGGTAACATATGTCTAATATAAAAAGCACCTACCATATATCCCAATTATCTACTTAAAGAGCGAATTTAGTAATCCTTCGCGAGGAGCCGTCCTTTTTTTTTTTTTTTTTTTACTACGGCCCCTGAGGTGAAAACGATTATAGGTACGACATCACGTTGTTACTAAACATTAGAGTAGTGGCCCAACATACTAAAAAGCTGTGTCAAAAAAAAAAAAAAGCTAAACAGATTACTAGGTTGACGCGACGCTGCGACCTGCGTGATTTCCCAGGTCGCCCACCCCTGAGGCCGGTACTGCCATCGAGAAAGGGTGACCCTTTCACGTTGACTTGCTCGTTTCAGGGAGGTTTTCTGGCGGAAGGAATTCAACCGGGTGTTTAAGGAAGGCGAAAAGCTTCTTCAAGAAGGACTCGCCGCCATTTTGATAGAGCTTGCGAAACAAGGCACGGACTACTTCTACACAGGAAACCTCGCCAAGGCCATTGTTGCGAAAGTCGGCCCGGACGGTTAGTGGTCATTCCATGAATATTTTTTTTGTAGGTCGTTCTGAAACCTCCCAAACGAAGCATGCGTAAAGGTGTCGGAGGGTTATCTGGTGTCGTTATGGGAGTTACCGGAACCGTACGTCTGCTAAAGCCCCCTAGACTCACTATCTGTGAGAAATGGTCGCTTATAACTACAGAGTTCCATGTTTTCGGATAAATCCGATAAAATCTGAAAAACACTCGCCGGTAAAAATTATTCTCAGATCAGATTTATTCGAAGACCGATGTTACGATGGCGAAAAACAACAACAAGAAAAAACAAACAAGAAAAAAAAAAAAAAAAAAACACGTTATTCTACAGATAAGCAGGGTCAGTGGTTTTGCGGAAAGACCTCTTCACCTTTCTTCCCAATCTCAGACTATTGACAAAATGTTGATCACCGTTAGGCTTTCGTCAAGTTTTGTTCAGGACAAAGGGTAATCGTAATGTTGGGTCACGACAAAAGTCACTGTCCTACTTTTCAGGCTGGGATTCTTAGGCGCGGAATAAGATAAGACAAAAAGCAGCTTTGCAGAGTCTGCATCGAGGGTTTTAGTGATTTTAAAGTATCGGCGTTTATTAAAGTAACACTTGTTGATAAGTTTTGTCGCCGAACAGTTGGTATTATCAATGGCAAGGGCGCAATGCCCCAATCTATAATTGAAAAAAAAATAAAAAAATATCGTTGGACTCGGGCGATTTCTTATGAACTGTTCGTAGAATATTTATTTTTATATCGAATTTTGAAACCTAGGGCACTACAGCCAACACAACGCGCCATGTGAGCCTTGGAAAGTTAGCACTCATAGAACAATGTACGGGCAAGATACGTTGAAGAACAAACTACCAAGATTACTAAATAGATTAAATGTCGAGCTTTTAGATATCACGTTTAAAGCATTGCGCTGTTATTCCAGCCCCAAGTCGACATTTCTTATGTAAAAAATGCCCTATGTAATATTAATATAACCTTGAGAGTTGTGCATGTACGCGATCTTGTTTTTATTTTTTTTTTTGCTTGTTAATATTTTTTTAGATATCGTTCACTTGCGTGGTTGTGACGTAACTTGACTCTGTCCATTGTTGCTTCTCTTTATTATCTTTATTTTTGCTTTTTTTCTGTTAATGCTGTAAACTTTATGGTATTGACATGGTAATCCTGGAGCCGGGGAAAAGAAGGGACGTAGGACAGACACAAAACTCCAAACACAGCGAAAATTTTATTTCACTGTCACGTCCTTAACTAAACCTACGACCAAGCGACGCAGACACAAAAGGTTTGACAACAAAAACCTACGTACGGCCGAGTGGCGCAGACACGAAAGGTTTGACAACAAAGAACCTCAGAACGACGACAAGAAGTATCACCAGACATACTTCTAACATGTGTCTAACATGTCTAAGATGTGTCTAACATACTTCTAACATGTGTCCTCGTTCTGAGGTGCTTTGTTGTCAAACCTTTCGTGTCTGCGTCGCTTGGCCGTACGTAGGTTCTTTGCTGTCAAACCTTTTGTGTCCTACGTCCCTTTTTTTTCCCGACTCCAGGGTTACCATGTCAGTATTGAACCAGCTCGCCTGCACCCTTGCTTTAGTTGTATGTTATATTGATTTTTTGTTTGTACTGCAAAGATGCCAATGAGGGGGCCTGTGGCTTTGTGAAGCTGGCCCTGTGACAGCTTTTTCGACCAGCTTCCAGTATCCTGCATGTTGTACTTGATGCAAATATATAAAAAAAGCAACAACAACAGCAATAGCAATATTAAATAATCGGGAATCTATCATAAACAAACTTCGATGAACTCGGAATTTTCGGCAAAAACAAAATAAACTCCGAAAATTATACTCTCCGAATTTCGCGAGCCGTAAACTCCGAAAACGCAGGATCCTATACTTATAACACTATCGAAATTTTTTTGAGTCTACGGTAAAATCACGACGCGTAAAAAGTTGGTAAAAAAATGGATGTCCGTGGATCGTAATGTACGTTCCACGACAATCGCTTAGAACTTAGATGGCGCCAGTGTGTATACCTTTTCGTGTTCTCGTCGTAAGCGGTCCTAAGCCAGCACGGTGCACCCGAACATACCTCGAACGCAAATGTGTGTGAGCCAGTCCGTCTATAGACCAGTGTCCGCGCCAATTCCAGGGCGCCGCCATGGATGGATGGATGGATGGATGAATACGGCTGAGCCCTTTGGATCGGGCGGTAGCTTACGCCACCTAGCCATTTTGTTTTACCATTTAAGCTTAGAATATTTAAATGTGAAATCTATATTCACTCCGCAGTGCAAAGAAAGTGAGGCTATGAAACCCCCTTGCCATCAGTGGATAAGAAAATACCTAGTTTTCTCTCGATTTCTGCCACCATTCACTTAATCTTTGCTTGGTAATCTCTACAGTCTTGAAATCCACTCTCCCTTCGCTGTCTCTAAAACCCAATGACTTTATTAAATCTATGTTGTCTTCGGTAGGCATAGGGTGAAGCCCTTTACAGTAGAGTATCAAGTGCTCAGCCGTCTCGTCCTCCTCTCCACAAGCAGTGCACACTGTATCAATTTCCTGGTACTTCACTCTATATGTTCTGGTTCGCAAAACACCCGTTCTTGCCTCAAACAGCAATGAGCTTCCCCTAGAATTGTCATAAATGCTTTCTTTGGCAATAACTCTTTTGTTTAATCTATAGCTTTCCAGAGCCGTCTTTGTCTGCATTCCCTCTAGCCACCAATCTCTTTCTGTGGCCTTAACTTTCTTCTTAACTGAGACTTGCTCTTCCGTATCTTCGCTATAGCCCAAAAACTTTCCTCTTAATTTCCTAGTGCGCTGTCTCCACTTTGTGTCTACACTCCTCATGTATAAATAGCTGAAAACCTTTCGTGCCCATTGCTCCCCGTCCATTTGCCTCAACCTATCCTCAAATTCTACCTTGCTCACCGCTTCCCTGCTCTCAAATGATGCCCATCCCATGTCTCCTTGTACTCCCTGGTTTGGCGTTTTGCAATGTGCCCCCAAAGCCAGTCTACCTACTCCGCGCTGTTTTATTTCTAGTCTCGCATGCACTTCGGATTTCATGCATAGCACTGCGTTTCCAAAAGTCAAGCCAGGCACCATGACCCCTTTCCAAATCTCTCTCACCACCTCATACCTGTTGTAATTCCAAAGTGCTCTATTTTTTATTACAGCTGCATTTCTGTTGCCCTTACCTATTATATACTTTTCATGGTCTCTGAGATATTCTGCACCATCACATATCCATACTCCTAGATACTTGTATTTACTAGCTCTCTCAACTGTAATATTCTGTATCTTCAGGCTCTCAACTTCATCCTCGTTAAAAATCATGACTGCCGATTTTTCGCTACTGAATTCTAAACCTAATTCCTCTCCTTCCCTACCACAGATGCTCATTAATTCCTGCAACTCTGTCCTGTTGTTAGCCATTAGTACAATATCATCCGCATACATCAATCCCGGTAAGGATTGCTGAATTTTTTGGCCTAGCTTACTGTAAGAAAGGTTGAACCCAAGCCCACTCTTCTCTAGTCTATCCTCCAATCCTCTCAGATACAACATAAACAGCAAAGGCGATAACGGGCACCCCTGCCTAAGGCCTCGTCTTACCTCTATTTTCCCTGTCGCCTTTCCTTCCCATGTTATAATCACCTTGTTATCTTTGTAAATGTTCCTTAATAGTGCTGTTAGTCGTTCATCTAGGTTTAAGTTCTCCATTATGTCCCACAGGTTTCTTTGGTTCACATTGTCCTAGGCACCCTTGATATCCAGAAATGCCAGCCAGAGCTGTCTGTTTTCTTTTTGCGCTATTTCTATACACTGTGTTAGAGAAAATAAATTGTCCTCCAACCTTCTTTGTTTTCAAAACCCGTTCTGTAATTCACCCAGTATGCCCTCGCAATCTACCCATTCCTCCAGTCTGTTCTTTATAATCTGCATTACCAACCTGTAAATAACCGGTGTCACAGTTATAGGACGATAATTCCTAATATCAGACTTATCTCCCTTTCCCTTATATATCATACTCATCCTACTAAGCCTCCATTCATCTGGAATATTTCCTTTTGTTATCATGGTACTCACTACCTCCCTTAGTTTTGCCTTAGATTTAGGACCCAAATTCTTCACCAGCTTGATAGGGATACCATCTGTGCCTGTCGACGTGCCACTAGGGACTCTTCATTCCGCCTTTTCCCATTCTCTTTGTCCAAAATCCGCGATGTCACAAAGTGGACTGCTACTTCCTTCGGTTCTCCTATCTTCCACATGTAACCGTTCCCGAAATTTCTCCTCCATCACTGCTCCTATATATTGTATCGCATCATCTCCCTCTAATTGATCTCCCTGATGCGAGAGTATGAACCTCTGTCTAGCTTGCGTTGTTTCACCGAGTGAGTTCAAGTGCTCCCAAAACTTCTTGGCAGCGTTTCTATCTTTCTTACTTACATTACTCATCCATTCCTCACCCTTTCTCTGAATTTTCGCATTGATCAAACTGGATGCCTCTCGGCGACATGTTATAAAATTGTCCCATTTTCTTTTTACTTCCGTTTCGGACTCCCCACTACGCTTGGAATACCTGTGTTCTCTAGAGGCTTCCTGACGTTTTTGTATCGCTTGCTTCACTTCTTTGTCCCACCAGCTTTTTGGTCTATGTCCTTGCTTCCCCTTTCGTTTACTCTTAACTTTGTCTAGTTCTAGAGCAAAAAGCCTAGTTAGGCTCTCATAGGTCCAATCTGTATGCCGTTGCCCTGAAACTGCTGCCTCTATTCTTTCAACAACTATTTCCAAATTTCCAACTCTTTGTCGCTGCAGAAAGTTTGCTTTGAATTATGTTGTCTAGTTTCAGCATTTACTTCTCTGGCAAAATTCAGCTTAATACGTTTGTGATCACTACCAAGACTTTTGGAACCTTCTTCATCTATTTTCATTACTTGTAACTTACCATATATTTTGTGTGACATGAGTA